CCCCCCCCCCCAATTAACTAAACACTGAATAGCATTTTGACTAAAACACTTTTATTTAATGCACAGGTTAATTTTTCAGGGCTGAGTTATGGAAAAGGACAATAAATAGCATACTCTACCTGTGCTACAAAGCCTATTATCCTCGCCTTGATATAAATACCTTCCAGAGGGACAGGATTTCCCAATCTGTCCTGAAGACCAGTTTTTACAGGATTTGAAAGATTTGCATTTGGTAATGCAAAGCCTAAACAAAGAGTTTATGAAAGATTAAAAAGATATTTTTTGAAATACACATTCAGGAAAGATGATTGAAACTAATCTTGTATCAATGGCCCATGTTTGTTTATGCAATTCACAACACAAAAGTAACACTCAGTTTCTGTTCTGAATACTTGTGTCGTATTGCTGAGCTGTATTGCTGTCTAAGGGATCATGAGCTCATGACAGTTCTTTAAGGTCTTTGTTTAGAACCTTGGATTTGAATTATTTAAAGACCATCTGATGATTTATGCAAAAGCGCTTCCTGTGCTGCTCTTGAAACACACTGTGACAGGAGGAGTTGCAACTGCTGTTGGTAATTATGTCTATAGGAAATCTGTCAAACAGATGCTATACAGATGCCACACAGTAATGACTAATTTGGTAACATCTGCAAATAAACTATAAATTACTTTTTATTATATTATCTTCATACAAGTACTCTAAAAAGGGTTCTGATAAGTATTTAGGAAACTCTGGAAGCAAGTCAATATACAAACAGAAAACATTTCTTACTTTGATGCTGTAAATGACATTGTGACTCTCGCTCATTGTTATCTTGCTCCTGTTCCACCCCAATTGCAGGCTGAAATCGTTTTATTTGATCTTCAGCAAGGCAAAACTTAACAACATACCTAATTTTAACCTGACAGGTTTTATACACAACAAATACATCATCCTGGAAGAAACAAAAAAAAGGTATTTTACAATAAAAACAAAGCTGTAGATAATACCTAAACCAATGCAAATTAATCAAGAGGTGAACCTAAATGACACGTCATTTCTGAAAAACAGTAAGAATCTGACAGCTTTTATTTTCTCTCCCCTAATCTCTCTGTATCACTACCACTTGCATCTCTTATCTTACTTTGTATTCTCCACACTCGTTATATTTCCTCTTCTCCATAAAGCACAATCATTCCTCAAAATAACTAAGAACAAAAAAAGTACAGAACTGGTGGATATCTAGATATCTGTTAGCGTGCCGCTATAGTTATCATCCCTGCCTTAAGTACCAACCCATAAGGACAGCGATTTTTATCAGCTGGATTCATTTGCAAAACAATGAACCTTCCATAGTAGTGATTTCTTATTCCATACAAAGTAGAATATCGCTTCGAAATACCAATATCACAGACCAGATATTTATATGACTATTCAGTTATAATAAAGTGAAAATATGATATTTACATCTTTCTTTTAAGTATTGTTTTCTTGCAAGATTTCTTTACAAGTAGCAATTTAGAGGCTTAGAAGTTTTATGTGCACTTTACAGGCTGCAAGACAGACAAAAGTGATTTTACGCACTACTGTCTAGTGATTTAGTCTCTGAGCTGAAATGCAGGTTACATTCATTCTGTTATCTATCAGTGGTATAAGAAATCAAAAATTTGGTGCCTTTTCAAGTGCCCAACACTGCAGGATCAGTACCTCAAAGTCTGAAGAGAAGCCTGCTGTTTTACAGACTCCATGCACACTGTCATAACCTGATGGTGCATTATTCAACAAACAATCTTGTTCATACAAAGCTAAGCAGTATCCAAGTGCCACATCACAAACTGCCAGGAGCCGGGTTCCATCCATTTCACTGGGTGAAGAATACTGAATACTGGTGTTATATGTGAAGAAAGATAATACACATTTTATTAAAATTTATATTAATGTAAACATCATAGGAGTTTAAGGATACACAAGTACTTCTGAACAGATGGACAGGAATAAACTTTATAATTAAATTACCTTAAAAGTATTAAGCATGATATCTACTTAATTTGAAAAGTAAACAGAATACACAGAGGATAAAGTAAAGAGATATTGTCATTATTCAGACCTAACAGAATCACTGAAGTAAATGCCACTGCCCAAATTCCCAATGTCAGTTCTTTCCAGGCCACGATCTTCAACAACCGCTTTTGGCATTAGGAGTCCTCTGGAGAAAAAGAAGGTCACACAATGAATGAAGTACAATATACTTTTGCATATAGCATGTGGGCTAATACACATTGTGCAATTACGAACCACAGAGTATTAAAACAAAATACCCTTTACAGAAACCATCCATAGACACTCGAGGAAAATAAAGTTTATTCATAAAAAAGATAAATCCCAAAGTCGTATTAATTACCAAGACACTGATTACATAAGCAATAAAGACTGTTAGCTTTTCTTCATTTAGCAGAAAAACAATGCATTTTCCAGATTCATTGCCAAACATTCAAAATAATTTTTCGGTTATTAGATGAGTAGTTCTACATTTCTAGCAACTGTGCTGCATTCAATTTCAAAAAACTGTATGAAATTTTTGTATCTAAGAAAAAGAAAGTATGAGTTTTAAAGGTAGAATGCTGGGGAATTGATACTTGGAAACTTTTCCAATGTTTGATTTGCAAACCTATTAAGTGTAGAGATACCATCCTTAGACTGTTTATGAGACATCTGATATACTACCAGTTGATGCCCACAGAAAACATTTTATATATAAAGAATGTCAAAAGACACAATATTTAAATGAGTTCAACACTTGTGTAACTTAGAATTAAAATCTGCAGTGTGAGGGAAACAGAATGCTAGTATGACTTCTGAGGTATTTTAATTCTGATGGTGTTATGTATCAGATATGTTTTTTTAAAATATCCTTAAATTTTCAGTGGGTGGTATTCATTGCATACATGCTACAATGAGGATTTAAATACGTCAGACTACTAGAGGTTATATTATTTTAGCATTATTACCATGCCTGAGTGAATCTATGGTATTCAGTCATAGAACTAGATATTCTGTTATTCCAGGAAATTAGGATAATCTAAAAATATGCCAGATAAAGTAGTCATGGGGAAATAATGTATAGAAGTGGAAGGAAGACATCATCAATGCAATTCTTTCCTAAACCAGTAAATTTTCCACTCAGCTGTTATTCTCCTACTTTCTCCATTTTGTCATCTTTCATCTGGACTTAAACCACACTCCTCACTGTCATATCCAAATAGCTGCATCTTAAGTCTAATCTACCCGGAGAGTAATTAAACTTATCATTACAAAAGACTGATTTCCCTTCCAGAGGTCTGTAGAAGTATATGATGTTCCTATAAATGTTAACAGTAAAAATTAGGTTAAACATAATGCAAAAGAGCTTCATTAAAAAAAAAAAAGTCAAAATATATTTAAGAATATAATTAAGCCTGATTCAATGTCACAAAAAAGGGAATGTAAATTTCCACCTGGAAAGAATTCCCATGAAGTTGCGCACAGATGATGCATGGAATAAGGATCTAATGTTTACAAGACTGCTCAGAAATTCTGCAGTTTCAGTTATTCTGCCAACCCTATACACTTGTAAAATTCTCACTCGACAGTCACTGCAAGAAATTTGAAATGATGTTTGAGATGTCATGACTTAGTGGATTTAAGATCAATATACTGCTAAAAGACAAAGTCTTATTCAAATCTCAAAGTAATGTTCAATATTTTTTTATGTTAGCAATTTGGGTGGCATTTATTAAAGAAAAAATAGCATAAGAGAACAACCAACAGAGATATTAGAAACTTAATGACTAAGTTCAAGACCTATTTAGACTTTTAGGGAGAAATTGAAAATGTGTTTTCATGCTTAAAGTCATGTGAAATTATCTTATTTGACATTTTGGGATATAAATTCAAAGATGTGACATACAAAACCCCATATAACTCTATGCAGCTCAGAGTCTGTAAGTATATAAATTATTGCCAGCAAATTTATCTTGTACTAAAAATTCTTTTACTGAGAATACTCAGAAACCTCATTGTCTTGGATGAACTACAAATATCTTAGCATCACAGTTCAGGCTATCTGGAGGTAGTAACTCCCAATTAAGAAAGACTTCACAATAAAGAAATACACTTGAGAGGAGAAAAACAGGTTGCAATCCCACCTCCAGCAAGACTTACGCATTTTACATATAGTAGTTACAGGACAGAGCTGTCACCAAGATTCTTGTCCTTTCCTTCTTGTGATTACACAAAACAAAAGATTCAGATTCTCTCTTTACCTCTTCTTACCTTTATACTTGCCAGCTGAATGCTCTATTTTGCTGTTGTGTAAAGGTCTGAGTGGAGAACAGTGTGCCTACCACCTTCCTTCTACTTAAGCAGTCTGCTGTGTACACATGCTCGGAATATACTTCCTCAGATGACAGACTCCGGACTAAGGACTGAGTTGCTAACGGTGTAAAGACAGTGATACCCTATGAAATACCCAGAAGATAATTTTAGGATTCTAGGATTCCTAACTCTCATGCAGTGAGGAACCTTTGGATTTACAAAGTAACTGAGAAGAGGACTTAAGGATCACAATTTTAGATTTAGATACTGAAAGTAGGTAGTACCTGGAAAGTAAAAGCATAAAGCCCCATTTACAAATCAAACCTTTATGCTTTCAAGATTCAATAAGCTTCAGTCAAGTTTTGAATTCCCAAATGCTAAAATAGTATCAGTAAATAGGACCTAGCCTCTTCTGTAATTTTGAACACTTTACTCAAACTGTGTGGTTTCTTTTGTTGAGGATTAGAGATATGTTATGACCTAATTTATGAAGCTGTTATATGAACTTTTTTATATGAAGGGTTTTGTTTGTTCATTTTTAAAGAACCTTACTTGAACCCTGATCCTTCAGCATGCTTCTACTGCAGCTGAAGTTTTTTTAAACTGTTTTTAGATTAAAAACTAAGATTACAAATGGAGAGACTGAAAGGGAATAAATATGCACTGATTCTTGCAATGTCATTATGCTTACCTATTGTATAAGAGTAGAGTCAAAGTTTTGCAGGAAAATCCTGTCCTTATAATAAATATAATTTAAATAATTAAATTAGTTCATTAATATAGGCCCTAACATAGATAACTGCTATCTACAAAGAGCAGTGCTGTGGGTTCAGGTAACGGCAAATCTCCCAAAACTTTACTCAATTGTTTCTGTCACAAAGAACTCTAAGGTGGAACCGAGTCACGTAAACTATTGTTCTATTAACTTTAAATGACTTAAAAATTTAGACAAAATGTCAAGTGAAGGTCAGCTACTGAACTTTGCTGAAGACAAAGAGAAGTTTGTGTGTTCCAAGCACAGTGCTCCTTCCATACTTAAGCAATATATAGTTGGGTATAACCACTTAGTAACCAGTAGTTGCTATGTAGGTTTAGACCTTAGCTGCTTAACAGCATATTTACTCAGTAAAAACAAACTTGGAGTGACTATGTATGTATAATTGAAGCCCACTTCATTATTCCCTGTATTAATGATCTAACCATTGACTATTCCACTTCTAGAACCATCTTCTCTTTTAATTTCTTCACATTTACCCATTTTTAAATTTTATTAATCAAAGAGACAGGGTGCCCAGTTAGAAGCCAATGTCAAGAACATTAAATAGAATTATAGGCAGATCTGCAGAGTAACTTCCCAGAAACATGTCTTTTTCACACAACTGAAAGCTATCTAGAAAGGGGTGGCAAGTTCTGTACATAATCAAAAGGTGACCAGGTATTCCCTCCCATCCCCATCAAGTTTATTCACACTAGACAGCTGGCTGAACATGAGCCAGCAGTGTGCCCAGGTGGCCAAGAAGG